TTGTTAAAAAAATATTCAACTAGTACTTTAAATTTACTTTTGAATGTATCTTTGATTGAAATTTTTTTAATTGTTTTGTTTAAAAATGTTTTTTATTTTTATTTTAAAAAATTATTGTGACAAATTAATTTTTATTTAATTTGTTTTTTGTTAATTTTAAATAAATAGCCAAATAATTTGTCATTTTTGTCTAAAAATAATAATTTTTATATTTAAAAAATATCAAAAACAAATATTTTTTTTTTCTTCAAATAACAGGTGGAGATTGAGAAAAAAAAAAAGTGCATTGTTCCTGTCAATTGGTCGGACGTTCGACAGGATGTCTGGCCGGACGATTAGGTATACCCAAAAATTCCAAAACTGTTGGAGGAAGTCTGGACGAACGACCGAGTAGATCCAAAAATTCGAAAACTCTCTAGTTACCAAACACGTTTTGAAATGTGATTTGAAATCATATTTTGAAAACTATAATCAAATAAAGAATTGAAATATAAGGGTGGAATCATGATTCCAGAATCGAACCAAACAGATTAGTATGTCTAACTACAATTACACCAGGTTCATGGTAACCTCACATGAATAAAGGGGATATACAGTTCTAACTGATATCTGATAAAAAAACATAAATATGAATAGCATGAAAAAAAAGTAAGGAAATCAAATGTGAAATTTATATATAAGAATAATTTAGAAATACAAAATGCATGATATAGCTTCAACAACCCCCTTCACTCCTGTGATTCCTTCCTCCACCGTCCTCCCATTCTCTGCCACTCCCTCTCCAACTCCTTCCTCTTCTTCTTCATATATCTAGGGTTTCAAGGTGCAATGGGAATGGGGTTTTCTTCCTAAATCTATGGTTTCAAAGTGATGCGAGGATGGGATTACGGAGGTGGAGGTTAGGGAAACAAGAATCACGGGAGGGGAGTTGGCTATGACAAGATGAGAGGGAAGTGAAGGTGGTGGCAAGTAGTTATTTTTATATCAACCTTGCTTCATACACCCAGTGGGGGTCGCGCCCCCAGTGACGTGGCGCGCCCCCACTGGTCAGAAATCAAAAAAAAAAAGAAAAAAAAAAAAAAAAAAAAAAACAGTTTTTTCCGGACCAACCCCCAGCTGACACCTCACTGGGTGTCACCCCCAGCTGGGGGTAGCAAGCATTTTTCTTTTTATATTTTCAATCTATAATATAATTGTGTTAAAAAAAAAAAATCCCACTATGTAACATAAAATTATATTATATGTAACTTAAAAGGTATTATATTCATTTTACAATAATTATACAATAACATATATATAGATATTATGATAATATTAAGGGGTTGTTTGGGGTGTCTTAAATAAGTGCACTTTTTATCTTTTTTGATTAAAAAATTGAGGAAAAAAATATGGATGTTTGGGTTAACTTTTTGACTTTTTATGGAAAAATGTGTATTAAAAAATTGTATAAATTAGTGTGTAGGGAAAAATTAAGATTGAGAGTTGTGCAGCCGTAATTTTTTACTTTTGATGAATAGTGATAATTTTTGACTTTTTGAGTAACTTTTTGACTTTTTTTTAACTTGTCAAACTTGACCAAAATATAAATATATAATAAGTCTTCATATCAAACAGATATTTGACACTATTGTCAGTGATCTCGATTTTACAACAATAAATGACTAAATCAACATCAATAACACAACCCAATAAAATTTCTCAATAATTGAGTGGAAAAAAATCATCAAAAACAAAAATGAGAAAAACCAAAAAAGACAATCAAGAAAATCTTATCAGCAAATGGGCTATGGAGAAACATATATGACACTACACCTATGTTTAGATCATGGATAATAAAAAATTTAGAAAAAAAAAACACTTATATTTCATTCTGATCTCTCCCACATTTTCTATTGTTCTTTTCAAATCTCTACTCTACCTAAATTCATGATCCAAAACAAAGCCTAAATTATTTGTCCAAGAACTTCCAAGGCTGCCCAGAGCATTAGACAGTTTATGTGGCAACCATATCATGCATATCATTTTTGCACTTATTTGATTATGTGATTTTGAATGTGATTTGCATAATATGTGTTTTAATTGTTTGATTTGCATTTGATACATTGGTAGGAATTATAATTGAATCAGGAATTTTGAATTAGAATGGAAGACTTAATGACTTAGAAAACGATAAATGATTAGCTCAATAGCTTAATTTAATATTTAAAACTTTATGGGAATTTAATTAAAAATTTGATTCAAATTAAAAATAATCAATTAGGCAATGTGTGATTAATTAGTTTTAAGCTTGCTTAATTAACGTATTCTAATCCTACCTATATGTATAATACATAGAGAACAGACTTGAGCTCATTTTCAACAATTGAGCTGAGATTTAGAGAGAGAGAGAGAGAGAGGGAGATTGTAGAATTGAGTAGGAAGAAGAGCAATTAAGGGAATTTAGCTAGCAAATCATCAATTCAAGTTCAAGGTAAGTAATTGACCTCTAACTCTTGTAATTGATTCACTTAAGAGTTGAATTCATGAAGTAATTAGAAAGATTTACATGAAATTTGCAAGGAATTATGAAAGAAGATGATGAATAGTAAGCTAGGTGCATGTTCATGGAAGATTGTGCTTTGTTTCATCATTTTTGGTTTTGGTTTTGAAATCCTTACATGCATGAGAGTTTTAACTTAGCATATTTTCAGAAAATTTCCATGAGGCTTGTTTTCCATTGCATGATCATGTTCTTCAAGGTGAGGCGTTGAAAATTCCACATGCATGAAGGTTTCGATATCAATTTTGGTAATTGATAATGTTTTGAGTTAATGGTTTCAAAATTGGTCATGAACTCTTTTTCAAAGAGTTTTTATGTTTTTGAATAAGCCATGCAAGTCCTCAAGTCTTGAAAGTGTTTGGAAACTCAATCTTTTAGTTTTGAAAAATAGAATTCGTGCAGACCGCTCGAACGCACATTTCGATCATCCAGCATTTTTGTAGATTTTGCATACCACTCGAGCGAACAAGTTCTCGCTATAGCCTACATTTGTAACATCCAGAATCTCATTTTGCAGACTTAGATACTGAGAGCTAGCATTCACCGCTCGAGCGACGAAAGCACCGCTCGAGCGAACAACATTCACCGCTCGAGCGACGAAAACACCACTTGAGCGAACACTTTGTTTTCAGCAAGCTTTGTACAACACTTTCATGTGCATATTTTTGTTCCCTTCTTCCTCAGAGCATTCTTGGACATGGTTTAAGCCTCATTAAGAGAGTAATAAGTTAGAAACCAAACATAAGAAAATGGATTAGATTAAAAGTATTTGATTTAATAGCATGGTTCAATGTGTATTCATTTATGGGTTGGACACCTGAGGTCTAACAATCATTCAAGCACACTGTTAGTAATATCTCTATAAAGATATGTCTGAAACGTATTTTAGAATTGTTTGAAGTGTTTTTAGAAACTTATTTTCTATATATTAATGAAGATCCTTTTTGTAAATGTACTCGTGGCATCCTATGGTGAGGTCCTGCCTGGAGGATATAATATTGTGGCCCACTAAATGATTGAAGTACAGATATCCCTGATGTTTGACCTGAGTGGTTCCATTGTTAGACTTTTATGGTCCCATTGTGTTGACCTACATGGTCCCATTCATTTTGGCCTATTGGCCCCATTGTTACTCTATTGGAGGTTATCACTTATTACGCTTCGATAATGGATTTTGTTTATTGCAATTGCTTTGCTATGAATTCGATACGTGATTCGTTTTGGAAATGCAAGATATGTTTTGTAACATGTTTGGATTTCATTCATTAACCTCTTTATATTGATGTTATTCATTGGGCTTTAACTCACCCGTTTCTCTATATCTATGTAGGTGAGCATTTGGGAGACTAGGTGTAGAGGTTGCCTCGAGAGTCCGCCTTTCATGAAGCCAATTGTGGAGTGCTTCCAAGATGAGGCATTAGCTTGGACTTGTAAAGAGCCAAGCTTTTGTTAAGCTTTGTTGTATTTTGTTTCGTCTTTTGTTTGGTCTTGTATGTATATAAGAAGTTTAAACTTATTGTTAGTATTATAAGTTTGGATGCAATGTTTAGTTTTTTTGAGGTCTATTATGTAAACACAGTTCAATGAATAATGTTATTTCTGTTTTTGCTTCTGCTTTAAGCCCAGATATTTAATTAATATTTTGTGTTTGTCTAAAAGGCCGAAAATAATCTATCATTACTAGCTGATCATAATTCAAACTTCTAGAAACAAGTTCGAGTCATAACAGTTTAATTAGAATTGACGTAATAATAAGATGTTTGGAAATAAAGCAGACAAAGCAATAGTAAGTTATCTGGGAAACACAGTAGTAAGTGCTCAAATCTACAGTGCTAGGTGGCTGCCTAAACTGCAACAAACCTATTTCAACCACGTATTTCCCTCTTCATGGATAACCATGGTTCACAGCTTTCCTCCAGTCGAGGGTCCACTTTAGATTATTTTGGACTCATTTTAAATTTCAAACCGTTCGTTTTTAGTACATCTCGAGTAAATTATCTATACAAAAAGCAAATTCATCGAACACCAATAGTTATTTGTTTACATCACATTTGTTTTTAAAATAATAGATGAAATGTACAATTTTAAAAATAAACCATCTATTTAAAATAAAAATAAAAAATTTATGATCAATTCACGATATTCAATTAACTTAATTTTTTTTTTACTTGAGAGACTAAAAAATAAACATTTCACATCAACAAAATGAACCCAAAATGGGCTTAAAATCATCTAAATTGGACCCTATCTGCATTGGAGGGAAGCCCCATCCAAAATATGTTTACTCAAGAAACATTAAAAAGATTAATATTTGAGAAAGTGAACCCAAAATGGGACCAAAATCATATAAACTTCCAAAATGAAGACATAGTTCTATCATGAAGATGATCAAGTAATTACTTGCATGAAATTAGCTTCAACTAAAGAAATCAATTTGAAAACAAAAATGAGCACACCACAATAAAGAGAAGTCATTTTTAAATTAAACAAAAAAAAGAAAAAACTCAAACCACCAATTTACAAGCAACTTCTATCATCTAAAGCATATCCTGCTGAGCAACTAAATCATGAGAAAACAAGACAGGTTTTGACTATCCAAAGTAAAAGAACCACCACTAGATGCACAGCAATTCTTGCTGAATTTTTAAACCACAGCAAAACCATGATGACAAAATAAAAGAGATCTACCCTCAAAATCTACCTCCTCTTTGCTCGCTTGGGGGCAGCACTACTAGGACCAGCCCGAGACTTCCCAAAAACCTTCATTTTCTTTCTCCTCTCCTCTTCGCTGTCTGATTCATCCCCATTCTCCCTGTCTGCATTGCTTGCTTCCCTCTCCAGCTCTTCCCATGTCTTGCCCTTTTCTTCCTCTGATTCATCCTCAGAGTCCTCTTCCTCGTCATCCTCAGACTCTACCAGCGATGCACTGTCAGAATCTTCATCTTCCGATTCTGAATCGGGCTCGGCATCTGATGGCTCATAACCTTGGTCTGACTCCTCTGAGTTCTCAGAATCCGAATCACTACCCTCCAAATTCAAGAACTCCCACCCCCCGTCCTCTATGAACCTTTGTGGGTCATCAGTGATGGTCTTCAATATGGGACGCCAGTTCAGATTCAGCCTGCTTTCATAATACTTGAGGTCTGTTGTGTCGAGCCATTCCTTGATGCCATCAAGTGACGTAGAAGGAATAGAATCAATTCGAAGAACGTCTCGCTTGAAGTCCTTGAATACAATAGCCATGTCAAAATTCTTCTGCCCGAGACCAACTCTCTCCAAGTTCACGATCTCAATCTCGCTTAAAGTGACCACAAGGCAAGGAGTTTCTATCAATTCAACCAAGCAGCTTGACGTAGGGACAATGAAAGCCGAGGCCTTATAGGGAACTCCATGGAAACCAAGTTCCCTTAAAGGTTGATCAAACTCGAGGTCAAGTACTTTGAATTGGGGCTGTCCCCAGAGATCATTCACCCGATTCACAAAGTTCTGGAAACCCATGTTGATTTTGTTCTTCCTGTCCCTTTCCCGTTGCTCTTCCTCGATTTCATCAGGGTCATATGCAGATCTCTTTCCACCTCCAAGAGTCTGGACCACATCCATCACCTCAGTATAGAACTGCACATCCTTGGTTTTCTTGTTTCCAACCATTATATGGTTATGCAGATGAAAGTGAAGAAGAGTGATCATTTCCTTCTCTGCAGGCTGGAAGAATGCATGTTTGATATTTCCATACATAAGGTCAACACGCTCATCTTGCCTTGAGGTTGAATACCGAAATCCATTTGTGTGAGCTTCTAGTGAACCAGGCATCTTTCTTGCACGCCCCCCAAAAGTGGGGCGTATCCAAACATCAGTCAACCTTATTGGTCTAAATTTATTCCCTGCTAGTACAAGCTTCTCCTGAGTAACCAAAGTTGCCCGCTCAGCTCTCTCAGACTCCCTAGCTACAACATTCCGCCTAAGTGTTTTTATCAGCTGTACCACTTCACTTATGTGCCTTGGGTCCTTGGAGCGAAATGAGACCTCTTTCAGATATATAGATCCTTGATTCTTCAAAGAGTTTGCATCATGAGGACTGAACGGCGTGCCAGGAACATTAAATATGATGCGAATATAGCAGTTTCGATTGGTGTCCTGCTGGCTGGAGACAGTCTTCACTGTGGCAACATGAAAAGGGACCATGCTGCCATATATAGGGAGGAGGATGGCCTCATTCTTCTGGTCAACTTGAATCATCATTTCCCTAGGAGGGGGCAGGTCATTGACAGTCTTATAGGCGATTAGCTCACTCGAAGTCTTCGTGGAATTACGATTATCTCCAGTTACAGACCCCCCACCGGCAAGACGTCTGACAGTTTCTTCAGTCTTCTGGCGAGCAAGTTCTGCCTGGTGCTGCCTTCGGAGCTCTTCCTTCGATATCTCGTGATTGTCTGACCTGAGAGTTGCCTTGGAATATAAGGACTCAGTACCATTGGCCTCAGCTTTCACCTTAGGCAGTTCCTCTTCTTCCTCATCATCATTGAATGAATAAGCCACATCCTTAACAGCCTTGGAACTCAACATAGTTGCCACATCATGGCCCTTCTCAGTAACAATAACAGTGTCTGCAAGTAACAGAGAGTAATTCTGGCTCTTCAGATTCTTGCTTCGTGTTTGTAAGTTCTGGAAACCAAGTGTGACATTAAAAACCATGCCTGGTTTTAACACTCGTTCATTCTTGGCAGCAAGACTTAAGCCTGACTCGCGGAACTCCAAACCAATTCCTGTCCCAGCAGATTTTGTGAGGTTGGCAACCAAATCAGGAGCATCCCTCTCAACCACAGATAGGGCTGCTTGATACACGGAACTTACTTTGTTCCCAGGTTTCAATGCACCAATTGCTGCTTCATGAGCCTTGAGTAGAACCTCGTAAGCCTTACCCTGTGTTGGAGTAGAATCAATTAGAAAAGTCCTGGCAATATTTGAACAGTAGCTGTTATACCGAGATCCAATGGCACAAATGATCACACTGGCAGAATCGTAGTACAGATACTCATCGTCACTTGATGCACTAGGTCTGAGATCAAAATTCCCACCACTCTGAAAGATTGGAGGGTAACAGATATCTACATTTTCAGCCTTCAGTTTCACCTTAACTCCAGTAGGATCCAGTATGGCCTTCTCAGTGTCATCCATTATTGAAGAATGTGCGACTTTTTTCTCCTCATCAATGACCTTTTCTAGTTTTGGAACCACAAAATTCTTCATCACACTAGCAGTCAAATATGCAGCTTTTTTCACATTTGTGATCTCATGACCCTCCTTAACCGCAAAAAGGTCAGACAACCCATTGGTTATATCACCAAGCTGAAGGTTCGAATTCTTCAGCTTCTCAGCCCATTTCTCCAATAGTTTACCCTCTGGGATCTCTTTTGCTATATATCCAACAACAGGATTATCATGACCTTCCAGCTTTGATTGAGCACGGATGGTACGAAATATAGCATCCATTTGTGCAGTCCCATCATCATTCTTTGGCTTCACATGCATTACAACTTCCACACCCACAGCCTCCTTAGAAGACCTTTTCACAGTTTCAAGCAAAGAAGCCTTCTTCTGGCTACACAAGAAATGGATCTGCTTGTCCATAAATATCATTATCGTATCTGGGAACTCATAACCAAGCAACCAAATGTTCAGAGCAGAGGATTTCAGGTATCGCAGATCCTCTGATGGAGGAGGTGTAGGAACTGCGAGGACATCAGAAAATCCCCAGAGGTCAGATTTGTGTTCACGCCAGTTGGAGTAAAGGGCCTTCAGCCGTCTGCTGAAGACCTCTAAATCAATAGTGTAAGCATTCCCTGCCCCAGGAGCCCTCCCATTTGCAGATGGGCCATTTCCATTTCTGTTCTCTGCCATCTCAGGTTTACTGATTCCAGAACTAGTCTGCACAACAAACAAAGAAAAAGAAAAAGAAAAAGAAAAAAGAAGTTAACTTACACAACAATTCAACAATTTAACTCTCACGAAAAGTCTTAATAGGATCCAGGAACAAGGTTATCCAGTCTTGGTTTTTTTCTTTTCTTTTTAATGCTGTGTTTGAGTTGCTATTAGACACATATCTATATATTATATAAACAAAAGGGAGTTTCTAATGAGAAGCCTCCTAAGGAAGTAAACTTACACATCGAAATTTAATTCTATTATTATCATAGATTTCATTTACTTAATTCTTTCCCTTTTTTTCAAAACTTTTTCAGTTGATGATTCATCTGCAAGGGTGCAAAACATGAAAACAAGTAAACTACATCAAGAAATAGAGTAAGCAGTAGCACTATATGAAGTTAAAAAACATAAGTCTTCGAATCACAGACCCGAAATTCAGAAACCAGGGTTCAACTTTTGAGTCTCTTCAACTTCAAAATTGAAAAAGAAAAATTAAAAAACACATACAAGCAAGAACACAATCTAAAATATTTAAAAATCATACCGTTTCCCCCAAAATGACAAACCCCGAAGCACTCTACATTCATACGAATTTCACATCTCAAGCAAAACTAGGGTTTCTCGAAGTTGCTTTTTAATTTCTATTTTATTTATCGATTTCATTTATTTAATTTTGTTTTACCTTTTCAATTAACAATTCAATTGCAAGAGCGAGAAAGATGAAAACAAGTAACGAAATTAAATCAAGAAATAGGGTAAGCACTTACTCTATGTGAAGTTATAAGACAGAAGACCTTGAATCAGAGACCCGAATTCCAGAAACTAGGGTTCAACTTTGAGTCTCTTAAACTTCAAAATCCAAAAAAAACACACACACAAACAAGCATAAACAAACAATCTAAAATGCTCGAAAACCCTACTGTTCCCCCAAAAGTAAAAACCCCAAAGTTTGTTATATTCATGCGAATTTCACATCTGAAGAAAACTGGGGTTTCTCGAGGTCGGGAAAACTTCCAGAACTGCGTAAATGAAAGCAAAATACAAGGAAAAAACTTACATTTATTGAAGCGGTGAGTGATATTCAGATCCAGCAACCGAATTTTCTGATGTCTATTAGGGTTTGGTTTCGATACGGAGGCTGCTAAGTAACTCTTCGAAGGGTATAAACTAGGGATAGGGTTTTCGAAAACTTCAAAGTAGATTGAAGTGAGCATGCGATGAGAAATAAATGAATCAAAAATCATTGAAGATTGATATGAAGTTGAGATATACTTCGAAGAACAGAACAAATTCTAGAGAGAAGAAAAAATCGATGCAAATGAGAAGAAAAAATGCTACAGAGAGAGAGAGAGAGAGAGGAACGAGGGAGATTGAATTTCGAGGCCTCCAGAACGCGGGAATTTATATGAAAGGCGGTTTCTAAACGAAAATCAGGCTCGCATCCGATAGGGTCGGGTTTGGACTGGGCCGGACCGGGCCAGCATTAGACAATAAGAGGTTTTGTCTGTCCGTTTGGTCCGGTCTTAATGTTGACGGTGTATATTTGCTAAAGTCTCATCTAAAAAATAATTATAAATTGAAACTCTTTCATTGGGTTATATGTTTAAAAAAAATTAATATTTTATAATTAAATTAAATTGTTGTAGGGACATAATTTTTGGATGACAACACGTGGTTGAGGTGTCATCAAAGTGTCGGCCGAGGTGCAACGTGTCCTAGTCATGATGTCGAGGTAATCTCGATTAGGTCGAGGTTATCTGCGAAAAAATCAGAATCTAGAATAAGTGGATAAGGGACGAGAGTCCTAAAGGGGGAGAGGAATTCAGTTTGGATAAAGATAAGATCTTAGAGAGTTTATCCCAATGTTACTTGGAGTCCAAGATTAGCAATAATTCTACGTGCATTAAAGCTAGACTTCTATTGAGATTTGGTAAGTGTTGGCTATAAAAGAGGCACCTCCATGGATCTAAGGTATGCTTTTTATGCTCTGAATAGTGAGTTAAACACTTTTTGCTATATTTGAGAGATAACTGACTTGATCGTCGGAGTGCCCCTGGGTGAACTGCCCGAATCTCTTCTTTCCGTGACAGGTCGTTCGAACTTAATCTATTCTGTTAGTGTTCTCCAACTGAGTGCTTGATTGGCAGTGTGGTCGGAAATTGACACACACAATTATATACTATATTTCTTAAATAAATATATTGACATCATTATAAATTGAAAGATTTCTTAAATAAATTTAATTACACATAATCACAAATGTGAATTTTAATAAAATCAATCTCCCTCTCTCTTTCTCTCCCTCTCCCTCTTCCGGTCTCAGAGCTGCATAAAGAAGACGAAGGAAAAAGGGGAAAAAAAAATGCCCAAAACGACATCGTTTTGGGCATTAGGGGGATTAGGGGGGAAGAATTTCAAGCTCTCAAACATTATTCTTAATTAATTTAATAGCAAGCGGAGTTGAAAGTAATACATCCCAAGTACAAACTCATTAATATATCATGTTGGAAATGTTGGCTCAACCCTGCCCTATGGGTTAAAATAACATTTCCAAATCCTTAAAAAATAGTCGGGCCGAACTGGGTGAGCCAATGGGCCAATGTCCATCCTTACATCCGACTCTATACATCTTTCGAACATGTCCAAAATCCGTCAGGTTAGACGGGGTTATACAAGTTTGATACTTACCCGATCTCGTATTGTTTTTTATTTTTAGCTTTCTCTCTCTATTATATATATATATATTTTATATTTAAAAAAAAAACGAAGGTATGACCATGAAAAAAAAATTTAAAAATTATCAAAGAGATTCATGGAAGAAATCGAGTGACCACATAAATTTCCGCTACTATCATAGAAGAATGGAAATGTGTTTTTAAGAAAATAAAGCCTTCTAATTTGTTTTAAAAATAATGTGGGAAATCATAAATTTTTAATGTTTTTATTTTTATTTTTAATGTTTAAAAAGTTGTTGAAAAGTTGCTTGTTAATGTTTTTATTTTTATTTTTAAAAATTGAAAACATTATCAAATAACCCCACCAAAATTAAAATTATTTGATATGTTCGATTTAAATGAAATAAAATGGTGGATCTGTCAAATTTAATACTTGTGTGCAATATATTATTTTGAGAGTTCTTATTAAATTAAATTAAAATCAGTTGATGTGCTATAACACTGCTCAATTCAAGTTGAGCAAATTAGTTAATTTTAACTTACAAATCAATTTTCTTCTATTCTTGAGTTTTTTTTTTTTTTGACAATGTCACTACTCTGCGCAATTCAAGTTGAGTAAATTAGTTAATTTTAACTTACAAATCAATTTTCTTTTATTCTTGAGATTATTTTATTTTTTTGACAATGTTACTACTACCAAAAAAAAATGATAATTCTTCCTATATAAAATATTTGACAATAGTATTTGTAAGAATTTCATTTACTTTCATTTTAATTATTTAAGCATGACACACGGAGACATATCTTTTTTTTTTTATAAGGTGAAGCACCAATAAATTTTAAGTAGTAATCTTATAAATTGTTTGGTCTTTCATTTTTTCTTATGAATCCAAAAGTCTCATTCTAATATAAATTACATAAACAATCAAGTATAAATGCACGTGTTATGTGCTGAGGAACAAATGTGAATTTTTTTATAATGTTGAAATTACTAAACGTAACACTTCAAAACAATTCTTTAATATATTTTCCTAAATGTAACACTCAAAAAACGTAACACATCAATGTAACATTTCAAAAAAATCTTTAATGTATTTTTTCCAAACATAACACTTCAATTAATCCAGTACACAAAAACTCTTTAGTGTATTTTTTTCAAATGTGAATTAAAAAAACATAATACTCCAATGTAACACACTAAAAAACTCTTTTGTATACTTTTTTCAAATTTAATAATGTAACATTTCAAAAAAAACTCCTTAGTGTATTTTTCTCAAACATAACACTCCAATCAATGTAACACACAAAAACTATTTAGTGTATTTTTCTCAAATGTAACAATGTAACATTCCAAAAAGACTCTTTCGTGTGATTTTCTCAAACGTAACACTCTAATTAATATAACACACAAAAAATCCTTAGTACACTTTTTCCAAATACAATACTTTAATATAACACTCTCATGTAACACCATAAAACCACACTAACAAAAATGTAGATTTTTACGCTTGACAATCAACATCTCAGCCACCAATCCCCCCCCCCCCCCACAAACAAAAAAAAAAAAAAAAAAATTCTACACCTCACCTTTCTATTCACATCCCAAAAATGAATTACAAAATTGGAAATATAAATCACAAAAGGATATTTACTTAAACTCAAATGATACCAAATCAAATAAATACAACTTTTCAAAACAAAAATGACTAATTGGTTTATAAAAAAACGTTTAAGACTAAATGAATCAATATTCTCCATATGAGGTTTATAGATAAATTTTACTTTGTTTTTAATTTAAAAAAAGCTGATTAACGCCACAATTAGTATACCCTATCTAAAACAAAATAAAATAAAATAAAAAACATTATAATTAGTATCTGGTAATAACATGGAATTGTTATAATTAAACTGTCCCACTTCATATTTTGTTTTTTACTCTCTCAAGTTTGAGAGGTTAAAAATAGTTTCCAAAAATTACCATATAAAATTGCATCATCTTCCATTAAGTCAATTGTGTTACAATATGAAGTAGAGCACCAACACGAAACATGGTAATTTTTAAAAATTATAAGACACAACACGTAATATTTCTAACATAATCATTCTCCTTTTAGGTCATACTTGTAATTGAAACAAAGCAACAAAAACCAAATAGGGGGAACAAAATAAAAACAGCTCTGTTTGGTAGAGTTTTTAAAGTTTAATTTTACTTCTTAGTTTGAGTGTGTTGTTTGGTTATAGTTTTAGAAAATTAATTCCACACCTATTTTCAAAACACTCACTTTTCAATACTATATGTCACATCACTCAATTCAAACTTTTTTTAAAATTCATAACCAAACAAATTTTCTAAATTCAAATCATAATTCCAAAACTCACAAACTCAAAATACAACTCTATTCTCAAATCATAATTCTAAAGCCCCACCAAACGCAACTGAGTTTTTTTTTTTTTTTTGAGTAATTATAAACCAATCTTATATATGGAAGCTAAAATTACAACATAATTTGCTGCTATAATCTAGTAGCAGCTTTTGCCTTTTTACGGGCTATGCCCACAACATTCCTAGGAACTTAGTGATACAAATATATACAAAACAACTTAATATCCTTAATAATAAGGCAACCGATCCTAAGCTTCGGTTGAATCGCATGATAATTCGTTAATAAGCACTTGGGAATCAGTACATACGCGAACAGTCTTGACATTATGGTCGACACACCACTGAACTGCATGAAGACACATCTTGGCCTCCGTCGTAGATGCCAATAAAGCAAAACAGTCATCAATGTGTTCCACAATCTGGTTATCAAATTCATCCAAAGCTACCCAAGCTCTCCTGCACGAAAAGTATCCTTTATCCACGAGCCATCAGTGTATGAAACTGTACGGGGGCGAAATATCCTCCGCTCTCCGTACTTCTTGAACTCAAGCTCCACGTAACGGCGTCTGTCCTGCAAACACAAAAACGGTGAGCTGCCCGGCGGCGTGTCGCCGGATAGACCCTCCGACGGTCAAGTTAGATCACTTGAAAAGGAAGAAGAGAGATCTTTTAGAGAGAGAGTGAGAGTTGTTCAGGTTGCTTACCTCCAATGTCCTCCATTCCTCCTTTTTCTAGGCTGGCCACCCACCCTCAGGAGTTTTGCGCGCACTACTTCTGTCGTCCTTATCTCGACGAGCGGTTGTACTGTCCTCTCTATTCTTTACACGTGTACGTGTCAATACCGCCAAGCAACAATGGCCAAACTGCCAAACGGTATTGACGCACACCATTGGCGGGTTTCTCCTCTCGCACTCCAATTGGACCCAACAATTTCCACCGAGCTAGGCATAGCCCGGTCAGTTCCCGCTTCAATTCCGGTCGACAATCAGGGTCGAGCTCAAAAACCAACCCAGTTGCACGACCCAAAGACATCTCAAGTCATCAATTAGCTCGGCCCGCCTGCTCAGTGCAAATTCCCCTCACAATTGTCCCTTAATTCCATCGGTGGCAACCTGATTGGGATTACTTCATTCTTGTGTAACTTCATTTCAGCTCAATTTGTCTTTAAACTTCATGATATCTCGGCCAAGTTTTATCACTTTGCTTCCAGGGCCGTGCACAACTTGACCCAATATATGGCGCTCCAATGACACAATTTGCTTCATTTTTGCATTTGGTGGAATAGGTGTAGGGCCAGGCCTTCACTTTTCCAAGGCCAAA